AAAACATTATGATTTTCATGTCATACCCCATATTCAGGCTTGAAAAATCCCTGTTTCTCCCACCAGGAGTACCAGGCCGCTTCTACATACTGAGGACTGTAAGAATCAGGCAGAGGACTCAGGACATCTGAGACACATGAAGAGAAACACATACATGATTAGATGGGTGCGTGACAAATCTAAAAAACACAATTCCTGCTAATGGAAGCAAAAGCACACCTTTTTTCTCGCCAGAAGGCGTGGGTATGTTGTAGCTTATCACACCCAGTTCCTTCTTCTCAGGTTTGGCCTTTTTCTATTGGAGGGGATGGAAGAATAAACAATATGGCAAGTTCTGCGTTCTGCTTTCTTTCTATTTCTGCTTGTGTCAATGTCAATAAGAGAATAATATGCTGAGATTCATCGCTCTACCTCAGTCTGAGGCTGCATCTTCTTCTTCTCCTCAATCTCTTTCTTTTGTTGAAACTTCTCCATCTTTTCTCGCTTCTTGGCCTCTTTCTTCAGCTGAGCCTCTGTCTTAGGAGGACCTGAGAATCACAAGGACAAGAGGACAAACTAAATATTCAGGGCCAACATAGACTTCTACAATGCTTTCAGACTCTGATAAGACTAAAGTCTATCTGAAAGATCATGTGAGCTGTTTTAATTCACTAGTTTTTAATGGTCTTAAAATATACCTCAAAACGCTATGACACATTTCTAAAGTAATTAAAAAAGCAACAACTTCCAAATACACACATCCTTACCATTACCAGTTGTGCTGTCTGGTGTAGCAGCGTCAGGAGCAGCAGTTGATGTGGCATTGGCGGCAGCGCTGGGTTTGGGGGTCACAGGCACCATTTTCTCACACAGTGAGATTTTACCCAACACCTTCAGGAATTGTGGCTGGTTCACACAGGTATTAAACCATCTGGTCACATTCACCAATGACTTCCTGTCTGCAGGCTCCAATGCCTGAAATAAAAGTACTATAATGAGGAATCAATTACAGCAACTGAAAGTTGAAGCAGTTCATCCAAAAATCATTTTCATTCAAAACATGTATCAGTGTTGTTTAAGTTAAAAAAGTTGCCTTAACTGGTAACTAACTGAAATAAATAAGTTTAAACTGAAGTACCAAAATTACTCAAATTAAAACAAAAATAAACTAATGACATATAGAAGTATATAAAGACAAAAAACTAATATATAAAAATAGCTTATTCAACCATTTTTTATAAATACCATAACAGTACATAAATAATACAAAAATAACACCTATCTGTATGACTTACTTTCTTCTTGAAGTACAAAATAAGATATTTTGAAAAATTGTTTTTGGACCCCGCTGACTTTCATTGTATGAATAAAAACAGCTGAAACATTCTTCAAAATATCTTCTAAGATGTTCCACAGAAGTAAGTCATATATGGAACGACACGAAGGCGAGTAAATTATAACAAGAATTTTTGTGTGAATTATCCCTTTTATTAATACAAGCCGTCATGATAAAAGAGTTCAAATGGTTTAAGATTACAGATGTGCACTCACATATTTGAATGGCAGCAGTGCTGCCATAGCAACAGCCATATCAGCCAGAGTCACACCCTCTCCTACCAGGAATGTCCGCGGTGCAAGAGTCTCATCTAGAGCTTTGAGAACACGCAGCAGCTCTGCTCTGGAACTCTGCAGAAGCTAAAATTTCAAATTTAAGTTAGTACAGCTTCTCAACCAGGAACATTTTAGATAAAAAAAAATACAGGGGCAGTCATGGCCTAATGGTAAGAAAAGGTTGTGGGTTCAATTCTCAATACCGGCAGGAAACGTTCTTGAGCAAGGCACCTAACCCCCAATCACTCCCTGGGTGCCACAGCAAAATAGCTGCTCCCGGTGTGTGTGCCCACAGTTTGCAGTGTGTGTGTGTGTGTGTGTGTGTGTGTGTGTGTGTTCACTACTCACTGCTCCTAATGTGTGGATGGGGTTAAATACAGAGGACAAATTAGAGTATGTCTCTTTCACTTAAAAAGGTCTAAAAATGAGGAGCCGGAACCGTACACTCAGTGATGCCTATCAATCAACACACGGCATACGCAGACAGTCAGACCATCAAGGCACACACAAAAGACATACATACCTTCTTATCAACTCCCATTATCCCCAGCAGAGGGAATGCCACAGAGCAGGCCACAGGCATCAGCTCGTTCTCAGCAAAGCTCAGCCATTGCCACACCTGACTTTCCTGCTTCTTATCGCTGCCTGTCCGTTTCCCCGCTGCTGCCAGGTACCAGCTCACAGCATTGGCACCGGTGAGCACCGTGGCGCCCGCACCCTCTAAGACCAGTGCAGGACGAGACCTGCCCACCTCAGCCGGAGGGTCCTCATGGACTATTCGTGGAGGAGTTTGACAGAATTCAGCAGCGATCAAGGGTAACAAACTCCTGAAGTCATCAGGGTGTGAAGAGATGTAAAGAGTGTCCATCTGACAGAGAGATATGGGTCATGCAATTAACAATTCACAAAACGAGTGAATAATGAGTAATGTGCATCTCTTTAAGTTTAATTTAAAATTGTATTTAATTTCTGCAGTTTTGAGCATGTCACAATGACTATTATTAAACTTTATATGATAGATATATGTCATTGAAAGCCTCATATCGTTTGCGCTTCAATTCACAAATGAAAGCAAAAGTGTCAGATTCAGTTTTCAATATTATCTGTCAATAAACAACACTTTTAAGATATTAATATTTAGAGTTATTGAATATCAACTACTTTTCTTATATATCTAACTTCTGTGATCTGAGTCTCGTCATACATTTATGTAAACTGTTCAAATGACAAATAAACTGAACTTGACAATATTAGTGTCAGTCAGATTCAGAATATGATCTCACTGATTTAAGATTTCCTTAAATACTTTTATTCATTTCAAGATCGCAATAAACTATTTTACTCAGTAACCTTTTTGTATTTACATTACAATGTAATGCTTAAATAAGAACTTGAGAGATTTGAAGTCTAAAGATAGACCGGCTAATTGGCTAACTTAAACGCATGATCTGTTCATTTCAGCAGAACTAGGACTACTAAAGTCAAGAAACCACTATAAGACATGCACACTTTTAGATTTATTGATCAGCACATATACGCCAGCATCTGTATTTGTTAAAGTCTCACTGGAGATCATTAATAACTCACCTGTAGACAGCAGTGGGGAAACGTCAGCCTAAATCCAGCATGCACAGACTCCAGTGTTTCACAGGCACTGCCGTAAAGTCATATTAACCGTCGTAAAGCGCATCCGTCTGACGCAATAAACGTGTAAAACACATAAAACAGACTAAAGTTTAAAGTGGCAGATAGACGAACTATAAGAACCCTTTTTTTTTACAGTCTACGGTAATAACACGAAACACTAAACGTTATGATGCAAGCCACTGAAAAAGGAGAACTGATAGGCAGTTTACGAATTAAATTATGGATTTTTTTATGGATTATTTTATGAATAGCCTTATATTTTTTTGTCACTTAAGTGTAATGTTGCCTGTTAAAGACATTATTTACTATTTTGAATATAAAAATAAATGTATTGACAATATTTTAAACTTTATAGTTTTGATATTCAAATTTTCTATTCACAAATGTAGGATGGAAGGAAGATTTTTTTTTTTTTTTTATCTCATAAGGCTTTTTTGTAAAGATCTTGTCTCTTTAATACATTAATTTAAATCAGGGGTTTTCAAACAGGGCTCCAGGGACCGTCAAGGGGCCACAAGAGAGTTAAGCGGTCCGTGGAAAAGTTCAGGGGGAAAAAAATAAAAATAAGATTCAAATAAATACAGGAGTACTGTAAATAAACAAAATAAAACAAATGTTAAAATGAATGTGTAAATAAGTAGCATGATTGAGTAAACTTCATGGAAACTATATATTTTCCAAATGTTTTAAACATGTATATAATATTAATTTCACAGTATACGAAAATGTAGATAGCTATACCCTTTATTTTTTTAAATGGGGGTCCCTCACATGAGGATGGTCATATTTGGGGTCTATGGCAGAAAAACCCTGACTTAAATAACCAAGATTGGAAAATGTTAAATGTTACAAATTGGTATTTGGCACAATGTGTGTACATTAAGATTAGGCATAGCCTACATACGTACTTCTTTTTTTTCAACAATTCATAAAGGTTCCACTTTATAATGACTGATCATTATAAAGCATTATGTACAGCAGGGGCTATTCTAATATTAGTACAAGTGATGATGGTATATTAAAAACAATTCTTATTCAGAGATACAGATTACCTTGAAGAAGGTCTTTTACTATAGATTGGCCTATAAATGACAGAGAGCATGACTCACACAGAAGTTGTTTTATTGCAGCATATAAACCATGACACAGCAAGGCCTTTGAATGTCAGTTTAAATGACATAAACATCTCACACAATTACATTGCTTGTTTGTCACTTAATAAACATTGCTCAACACCTTAAAATGGGTTCAAATCACCCTGCAGTGCATCATTCGTTTCCTCCTTTTAAGGCAGACAGCAACAGAGGTTTCATGATTTATATTCACAAGCCATGGTCAATATTTATTGTCAAGTCCACAAGACACTATATAGTGTGACAGTTGGGTTCTGGCAGTAAAAATACCATTCAATTTCATCAGGGAATTGATTTTTTAACAATAAGATAGACTTACTTTGAGCTACGAGGTTGCTTATAGATGTTTTTTTGTAAAAGCCTTTGGTCAGCATTATTTCAATTAATTTTTTTAAATTTGTGTTAAAAACTACATTACCCATTATTCTGCACAGAAATCTCCAATCAGAGAATCAAAACAAGCTAATTGCATCAACTCTTAACAATATATATATATATAGGCTATATAGTTTTGTCAATTATGTCGCAATGCAATTGGAGTTGTCTTTTTGTTTGATTATTAAATACTTTTGCTTGTAATGTTGTGATTTACCTCGTTTGCTTTTTTACAAATCCGAATTGAAAAAAAATACTTCCAGAACCAACACTGCTGAAAAAGTGGGTGGGAACTGTTGAACTCTATTTGTGGTGTAATATGCAAATAAGGTTTCTAACAGGCATTTACACACTTTTAAATCTATTCACCAACCACTTCAGATGTCAGCAATTCAGGCATTTGTGATTCAGATGATCCCCCTGAGCTGCCTCCAAAAGCTTCCAGGACATTGGTTATTGTATTCTCCACCAGTCCGCCTACGATGGACACAGCGATGTTTAGTAGGTGGCCCACCCCTCTTCCACTTCTCCAGGTAAGTCTTCCAATCCCATTACCTACTGTTGAGACCTGGTGGCCCATTTCAGAGGATACGGCACACAGGTAATCTACCATCTGATCCCCAACTGACCCAAGAACCATCTTTATGATCCTAAACCCATTGCCAACCGTTCCCGTCATGATCCCCAAGGCATCCGACGCTAGAGTGCCCGTCCCTGTGAATCCATCCTGGAATGCCAGGACCAGGCTGCTGGCTAATGGACTGAGGCAAGAGTAAACCGTGCACACGCTTGTTTCTCCTGTCTGGTACAAGGTGCTAAAAATGCATGAAACCCCAGAAGACACTCCTGAGCACAAGTTGTTGACCAAAGTGTAGCTGTCAACAGGCACCGAGGCCAGAACGGCCAGATCTTCCTGAAGAACATAGGTGAGCTGGAAGGGAAAGTTAATGGCCTTGTTTACGATCGGAGAAAAGGGGGCATAAAGGAGAGAGATGGTGGAAGACAAAATGTAGAGAAGAACAGACTCTGAGCTCTCTGTCTCATTGGTGCTCTCCTCAACGTCCAAGTCTGAGCTGAAGGAAGTGTAGCTTGGGGCTTCGCCATTCACATGCTCTGTCATGTCCTCGTTATCTGATTCTTGTGTTCCTGCTTCCTGAGTGTTATGTACGCCAATGTGTTCACTTTGTGCATCAGAGTTGGGTGTTTTGTTTTTATTCAGTTGCTTTAACAAGAGCGATGTCAGTTCTTTTTCTCTCTGATGTCCTATTTTACCACAACCTCCTGAAAACAGGCTTGTAACTCCTATCAGCTCCTCTAACTCCTCAATGCTGAGCACTCTCACATCCCCCTCCTTCACTAGCCCAACACTGAAACTACCATCTCCATCTGAAGCAGCACAACACACTGCTGACCACAATAGTTTCCCCCCACACTCGTTAAACCCACCCACACCAATCTGCACATAAATGTCCCCGCTCATCTCTGAACACGTCGGTACGACAGAGCTCTGTGTCAGCTGTGCTGTCAGAGCATCCCATTTCAGGAGAGGGGAGTTTGAGGGAGATGGGGTCATGTTGGTGGTTCCTCTGTAAAGAGCTGGGATGGCCACATGGGAATCCTCATTGATTTCTTCTTTGGCATCCTGCTGATGTGTTGAGAGAGACAGGTACAATGTAATTACTTGTTTAATCGCAAAAGTATACAACCATGATTTACATCATTTACCGTACTCACCAATTGTATTTTCAAACCTGTATTTTCTTCTGCAGAACAAATGAGAAGATATTTTGAAGAATGGTGGGGTCCAAACATCGTTGGACCCCACTGACCTTCATTGTATAGCCAAAAACAAAACAAAAACATTTTTCAGAATTTCTTCTCTTTGTGTTCAGCAGAAGAAAGGCATGGGGTCGAGTAAATAACGACATAATTTTTCCCACCAAGAGTTTGAAAATTGGGAGATTCGTGGTTGACAGGGAGGTTTTGAGGTGTGACTGAATGAAACAACCTGTTCTGAGTCACTTTCATGAATAGCCCCATTAATTAAATGCAACCAGACTGTCTAGGGATACTGTAGTTTTACCTTCATTTTACTGTACACTGTATAACTCTATTGCACTGGTCCACAAGAGTGACCATTGTAAAGAAAAGGAAAATCTTGGAAAAGTTTTCTATACGTGTATATATTGATGCCTGGTTTCGTGAAGCATTCATGCATGTCATTGCAAAACATTTTGCAGCCGGAATTAAAGCTGCTTTGTCATAAGGAGGTCCAATTATCTGATATTTTAAGAGACTTATTGGCCTTGACACGCAAAGTCAGCAGGAATCCTTCTATGACATCACTTCCTGTTTGTTTTCTAATGATTTTGCAGATGTTTTTCAAATGAAGCAATTTTGTTAAAATATAAAAAATAAGTTGTATATTATATATTATAAATATATTTTGTGTATGTGTATATATAGGTATAAAAACACAATTCATTCACAAAGTGCCTTGTATACTCTTCTATAATGATGTATGTTAAAGAGAAAATCTAAAGTAGCAAAAACTACTTTTAATACACACATTAAAACCATGCTCATCATAGAAGAGGAGTATTCAAGTCACTGAGTGTATGACATGCATTTTTAAAGTATTGAATAAATTTAGAGAAAGGACAAAAATAAGAATCTTTTTTTCATATTGACCTTACTAATATGATCCCTGTATTGGTAAAATGTTTCTTTTCCACTTGACTTGACAACCTTGTACATTTGCATGTCAGCAGAAACCGTAATGAACAATCTATAACCTGTGCTTACACTCATTTAGTACAAAAACTGTGGCTGTGAGATAACAACAGCCTTCACTACTATTCAGCAATGCCTTTTTAGCAGATAAGCATGCTCAAGTCTACACAAAGCTCCAATACAGTAGGAAGAGAAAAACACAGTCTCACCGTGCTGTGCACTCCTCTGCCCCATCCATTGTTCAGGCCGAGGTGAAGGGCTGTATAGACGGTGGTCTGGCAGTTGCTGTTATAGAGCGATGCAAAAGGCCGCGCGGTCAGATGTCTGTGACACCTCTGCTCCAAACCCAGCTCAGACAGTGATTGTGGAGGAGTGCCTCTGAAAAAACACTCTTGACACTGGAGAAACCCTGGATCAAGCTCCGTGTGTGTACTTGCCCAGACTACAACACCATTGAACAGCACTGCAGAGATAAACACAGCGAGTCTGGGCAGAGCAAACAGCATGGCCAAAACCCTCGGTACAGCGAAGCAGAGACTGCAGCTAACAGTGCTGAACTAGCAGCTACACAAAACAAGATCCTGCTAGACTCTCTCTCTCTCTTCAGCAATGCAGAATGAGTCTGGGCACAATCTAACCTTCTTCATCCCTCCCCCTTTCACACTCACTCTCTTTCATCCATCCCTCCCTTTCTAAATCACTCTTTCTGACTGCACCTCATCTTAGTATTACTATAATGCACACAAACCAGTACACACACCTCTCACACGCCTTAATGACTACCTGTGTGTCAGCATTCCCCAACATCCCCACTAGCAAACATGCCATTTTTGTAGCTTAAGTCATTTTTTATGGACAAAAGAACGTTCTGACAGAAAAAAACAAACAAACAGGACAAATGTTCAGTCATAAATTTGGAATTTCATTTGATAAATCAGAGGTGGTGTATAAAAACAGGTGCTGGTGTACTGACTCAAAAAGAGCATAAAGAAAGTAGACAGAAACACAGGAAAACAGATTTTAAATATTTAATAAAAACAACAACAACATAAAAACAAATATTTTGCTTGCAGTTTCCTTTGGAACCTGTGTAAAGACAAAAAAAAACAAGAATTGAATTGCTTTCATTTAATATCGTTTATTATTGTGTTAATAAACTGTTAGAGATACTGCCGTGTCTAGTTCATGTTCAGCTGGTGTGTGTGCATGGTTAATAATCCCATAGCAACTTGCCTGGACTTGTGTTGATGTGCTCCAGGGTAAAATGGGTGTGGCTCTCTCAATCTCAGTGTGTTTTTCCTCTCTTTGTTCTGCTCACTCTCTTTCCCTCCCTTATTGTCTAAATTCTGTCGCACAACTCTAAATTTACTGCATGCTTACAGGTAATGTATTGCAGCTCAGCAGTCTTAAAAGAATGAGCCTATCCAGTATCCAAGATGAGTCAGGGTTTTTTTGGTAACTCAATCTGTTACACAACCAAATGCCAACATTAACAACACAGACCCAGATTTCTTAATGACGCATCACAAAATGCTGGTAACTTGGTCAATCTCCAATTTCCCACATGGGATAAAAAGAATACCTATCAATCTGGAAAGATCTGAATGATCTCTAACAATATAAGACGTGCAGAACGAGTATTCTGGTTGTCCTGCCAACTTTTTTTTAACACATTATTTTTAGCAATGCATTTTTTTGTAAGATTTGCTAAAAATATTTATATTTTCAATTAAAATTTAAAACAGAAATTTTACTGTTATAATGTAACTCCATAAATCCATAAACACAATTTTGCTGGAAAGCGATGGCATATAAAGCAAAACATTTGTAGTTTTCAACACAGAATACCAAAACTTTCAAGCCAATTTAGCAAATTACCACATATACACTATTGTTCATATGTTTAGGGTCAGTAAAATTGTTTTATTTTAAAGAAATGTATTTATCCAGCAATGATGCATTAATTGGATCAAAAGTGACAGTAAAAACTTTTACATTGTTACAAAGGATTTACATTGCAAATATGCTGTTTATCGTAAAAACATAGTTAAAGAGTAGATAGATAGTTAAAACTATTTATTCATTAAAGAATCCTAAAAAAATAATTATGGTTTCCACAAATATATTAAGCAGCAAAACTGTTTTCAACATAGATAATTATAAGAAATGTTTCTTGAGCAACAAATCATCATATTAGAATGATTTCTGAAGGATCATGTGACACTGAAGACTGGTTCAGCTTTGCCATCACAGGAATAAACAACATTTATATATTAAAATAGAAAACAGTTATTTCATACTGCAATAATATTTCACAATATTATTTATATTTTTGATCAAATAAATGCAGCCTTGGCCAGACTGCTTTTAAAAACATTACAAAATATTATCAACCCTAAACTTTTAAACAGTATGTTAGCCAACTAGATAACATTATCATACCATTCTTATTGTTGAGCCCAGTAAAAGCAACTTGGTTTTGGATTAAATTTGTTGCAACAAGATCTCGTCAACAGGTATTTCAGCATGATACTGCCTGACAAAAAGTCAGTTTAAGCTGGATTTAATAATATATAATATCCATAATGATGAAAAGTCCCCTAGATAGAAAGATTTTTCAGTAGTTCTATCTGAAGCTAAATGCTCACAGAGGCCTGTATTTTTCTATTACCTTCACTCATTGGGTATGTCAATGACGAGCTCTGCCTCATCACCTTCTCCTCTTTCCTCCTCTCCTTGGTCACTATCCCCCTCGCTTTCTCCCTCTTCATCGGCTGCATCCTCACTCAGCATCTGCTGTGGGACCCAGCTGAACGGCCCACTCGCCCCCCCAGCTGCACCACTGCCTGCAGGGTAACTGGACGTGACGTGGCCAACCACCTGAATGAGAGGGAGGAGCAGAGGCATTTTTGTTATTATACTGCATTTCAGAAACATGTGACTAAAATGCACGAAGAGAAATGTGTTACTGTAAATGCAAGATTATTAAAAGACGTGACAAACAGTGTAACAATAATGGCCACATGAATCTAGGCCACTGTGTTTCCAGCATCAAACTCTCTGTCCCTCTCTCACCTTCCCTGAACCGTCTTTCCTGTGTTTGGCCAGTTTTGTTTTTCTCTCTTTCTTCACACGCTCAGCAGAGGGAGCCAAATACTCAGGAGGGAAGGGTAACTGCTCACCCACAATCACACACACACACGGCACCAAAGAATAAGAGTCATTCCCCCACACACACCCAGAGTGCCCAGAGAGATGTGTGTGAAGTCCACATAAACCAGGTGAGGTGATAAAAGACAAAAAGAGAGAAAAAAAATGAATAAAATGACAAAATTAACAGGTGACAAAAACAGAATGTAAAACACTAGCTTAGTTTCCATCCACCTAATTTTATGTGAATTTTGGGATATTGCATTTTTTATTTTCTATTTTTTTACACTGGATGGAAAAGTCAAGATGTGCATACATTTTAAAACTTTTGCGCTCAATTGAGGTGGATAATTTTTTTTATCCATTAAGAAGACATGTGCATAAACTACATGCGCATAAAAAACATTAAGGTATAAATTACTTGATGTGCAACAAAAAACTCACGTGACTTTGCCTCAACAGAGGATGTGATTGGATAACTGGACTAACCAGCAGACAAATTTCATTGCACACCATCTCAAATGTTGTTTTGGTCATTCTGAAATGCCTGAGCCAAAGTCTGTCATCAAAAGGGTTGGGTATAATTACCTCCCAGAACTCTCACATTATTGCAAGGCATCTGAATGCAAGATAACATGACAGCATTTAATCCGTTTCATCTGTGCGCAAGTAACAACCACAGTGGGTTCCCTGATTGCAGCAACTTTCACTTTTATTACAGATATTTTGCACCAATTTCCCAGGAAGTGATGGATTGAAACGGTACTTTATTTGCAAATGTTTCATTTGATATCCCAATTTTGAGCAGTAGTTAAATTGGCAACTTTCGATGGAAACATAGCAAATGTGAGTAACTGAAAAGCATGAGTGCAGTATGTATGAGACCTGTGGAGTGCTCATGGAGGCGTGATGTACTCACAGTGTTGAGGTACTGTGCCGGAGCAGATGACTGGAGAGGAACCGCACCAGAGCGGGACAGGAGTGAGAGATGAGGAGATGAGGACGTCGGGATGGGAGGAACTCCAGGACTTCTCCTCCTGAAAAAAAAAAAAAAAAACCACACAGAGCTACTATAAAAGGATGAAAACATATGCAACAGCAGAAGTGACATATGCATAGCACATGTTAGCTTGATAAAATCAGGAATGGCACAAAAAAAATAAAAGTTGCCATACTTTAATCATGCCCAAATTTGATTCATTTTAATTTCCATTTTTTCTTTTGGTAGAATTATCATTTTTCAATTTATATTTATTCAAAGCTATTCAAAAGCACATTGTCTGTCATTGCATATGAGTTACAATAGATGTGCATATACAGTACATTCATGTGTTTTTACAAATCTTTTCCCATCGGTTGGTTATTTCTTTTAAGCATCATGTAACTGGCAAATTTTAAAACCCTTGTTTAAGCTCAATGGATAATTGAAAGGTTAATAGGCAGTGCAACAGATAGTGTTTGCACTACAAATGCAACGTGCTGCTCACGTAATTCTGACTGCTGCAAAATTTAAGAAGTATACATCCTCAAAATGTCAACAACCCATAAAGGGTATCTATACTAGATTTGCGCACTTTGCCTTAAAAAAATTATCTTATGTTCCACCAAGGCTGCATTTATTTGACCAAAAATACAGTAAAACTTTAATATGGTGAAATACTATTACAATTAAAAATGTTTCCTATTTTAATATATTTTCAAATGTTATTTATTCCTGTGATGGCAAAGTAGTTATTATTATCAATGTTGAAAACAGCTGTGCTGCTTAATGTTTCTAATGTTTTCCCCTGAATTATTTGATGAAAAAAAAAAATCATAAGAGCAGCGTGTATTGATCAATTATTCAATTGCATCCTTGTTGAATAAAAGCATGAATTTCTTAAAAACAAAATAATCAAAATCTTACTGAGCCTAAACCTTTGAACGGTATTGTACACATTTTATTTAAGGTAAAAAAAGAGAGTGTTAAACTTTACAAGCTACATTTCTAATGTTTTACATCTGTCAAATCCAAACAAAAATCCACTTGCTGTAGACTCACTTTTTCCCTGCATCCCGGTCTCTCTCTCTGGCTCCCTCTCCATCGCTGTCCGAGGAGACTGTAGCATCAGAGTCTGAAAACAAAAACACTCTCAGCACACAGAATCCCTGGAAGTGTCCTAGAAGTAATCAGAGCTTTAGAGACCTACCAGAAGACTCTTCATCCACTCTTTCATACTGCAACAGCCTGTCCAACAGAAAACTGACAAAACAAAAGCGTTCAATTATGTGTGCATGCATCTGTGGGACAAGCAAATGTCTACTAGGGGTTCAAATGTCTACTAGGGGTTCAAATGTCTACTAGGGGTTCTACTACCTTTTGTCTCTTGAAACTTTTAATAGTTTCCTCTGAGCTCTTCTCAGCTCCTCCTGAAAACACTCTTGCTCCTGAACAGAGGAATTAAGACAGAGGATTAACAAGCATTTTAAAACGACAAAAAAAAATCGAACACTGAAGAAAACGATACTCACATATACTATAAACTTCAACTTGCGTTTGAGATTTTTGTATTTTCTCTTGTAATCCACCTCTACTTCAGCTTGTCCGTTCATTTTATGATACTTCAATGTAGACACACCGTCGTTTTCAAATGGCTTTGCTACTTTTGTTTCGAGACCGTGACTGTCCAAATGTTAATGTCTACGTTATGTTTATCCAGAAAGATTTAAGAGACTCAAAAAGATTTAAAGAAACTAGGTTACTAACTTTACTCTTCTCTTAGCCACGCTACCGCTACATAACCAACCAACAAGAGAAAGAATTAACAAAATATTTATTTGTCGAGTCTAAAAAACAAGAACCGATGAAGACAACGACAATGTGATAATCTATTATGCCAAATAAAATGACAAGACATTTAACAATAAACACCTATCTCTCGCATGTCAGGTAAGTTACAGTGCTGAACTGCGACGTGATCTTTGTTTACTTCCGCTTTCAACGTCATACGCACAGGAAGTGGGTAATGCAGGCAAATCTCTGAACAAATGCTGACTTTTTAAAGTTCCCATGAGTATCAATGCCATTTCTCGAGGAATATAATATAATATAATATAATATAACACAATATAATATAATATAACACAATATAATATAATATAAATCACATTAACAAAATAAACGTATTAAAATGAATTAATTTCATGCATTCAATTTAATTAAAACAAATGTAACTAATTTTGTTGGTGTCCAGTAGGGGGCCTATATTATATATTATATATATTATATTATATGCATCAAAAAATGATTCAAAATAAGTTGTAATATAATAATTTAACGTAAAATAAAACGGTAAAATGCGATAATAATCAAGAGGTAACTGATATCACTTCCTTTTTTCTGTCCCAATAATATTGATTTTATCGAAGAACATAGTTATTTTATTACTCTTTTAAAAAATCTACATTGATCATATTTTTTTATAAAATGACAAAGCATACTATTAACCCTTTGATGCGCAAGCTATGGATACCCCTTCTAATGCACAACATGGGTCTAAAAAGACCTGTATTCATTTCCTATGTTATTTCATGCATGGCTTGGCATTTTTTTGTTTCACCTTTTTGAAATCACTTTATTTGAGCATTTAATATTTCATGATCTATAAATTTAATGATTTATGAATATTCAAAATATCTTGTTTTCAATTATCACAAATTCATATTTTAATATTTCCTAGGTTTTGTGTTAATACATCAAGTCTAAAATGACCCATATGCAAGCGTGATAAAACAAAAGAATAAAGAGAACTTTTTGTTGTTTAGATCAACACATTTACTGTAACACTTGAAATATGTTTATTGGCCACTTTGTCACACATAACACACATATAACCGATAACACTGAAATTGAACTGTATAGTGCAACTGTAGGGGGATCTCCCCACCACCAATGTGCATGCATCCACCCGGACGATGCGACAGCAGCCATAGTGCACCAGAACGCCACCACACCCCGGCTTATGACCGATAGCATTGATGACCGATATGCATTGATTTATGACCACAAATACAAATTAAAATGGAGGTACAAGGTTTCTGCCCAACAGCGACGATATATACTTGTATATATAACTTTCTATTGCAACTTTTATTTTGTTGACCTAACTAACATTAGATAAAATAGAATATGTCGACCACAAGCTAGCTAATAGTATTGGACATGTTTCTCTTTTGCACTAGTAATGGATTTCAAGGTCAAGGTAACCTTAGCCTAAACGTTCCAATATTAGGCTAGATGTCTTTCACAAAATATCAAATATTTTCTGTGACAAAAAATTGTATTAAATAAAACTTACATGCATGAAATATACAAAAGCAGCCGTGTTGAATT